TTTGTACATCATTCTAGAGAGAAATAAATGGCCTTTTTAGAAAGTGAACCCTGGATGGGGAAATGTTGGCAGTTTTCTCAAAAAATGCTTGAATTCGAGAAGTTTTATATTTGCGCGGTTTTTGTTGAGTTGCAAAATCCACTTGAACATGACGCTGCTTTTTTCGAAGTTTCTCCAGAACCATTCGAGCCACAGAATTCGTTTTGGCATCGTTGGATAGAGAATTGAACCCCCATGGCCCCCTCCCCCTTGGATCCGCCCTTGAATGAGTGTCACTCTTTGTCAAGGCCATTTATTTACGGGGTGCGCTCCAAATGTGCTGTGAATTTGTATATTGTGACGGAAAACTGTTGAGTGTTGCGCCACTGGTAAGTACTCTGCATTCTCAGATGGCATAAAAAAATCAACCATGCCGTGTGGTAATAACCGGACGCGGATCGCGACCGTGACGTAACGCGACCGTTTTGCATTTCTTTTTGCTGCAAGCAAAACCTGTCTTTTGCACGGATAATTGCTATTTTTAGACGTTTCTGCGTCGCTAATTGATGGACTTGCCATGGAAACGATACTATTTATAGTAGCGCGCGGACTGAGGATGAAGGGAACGAGAAAAAAGCTGAAACGCCGCGGCTAGGTTGGAACCAGTTGATTTAGTCAGTAAAAGTTGGCTGGGTTTCTAGGCGGAAAACGGTGCGGTTGTGCAATAAGAGTGCGGCCCCAAAACTGGACACGAACGAAGCAGAAGCGGATCCGAAAGGTGTGACGAAACTCGATCGGCATTTATGGCGCCAGAATGCAAAGATCCGCGTCGCATTCGTATGTGGTTCCTCATAGTTTGGCTGCTTCCGCGCTTTTAACTAACCCAAACACCCAAAATTTGCTTCTTTCCTTACTTGCTGGCTTCTGAAGATTTATTACTCAACTGGGGTTTGATGGTGTGAAACTTCGAAGGACGCTTCTYAATGSACKYTTCTMAATSCACGAGAATTTTAGTCTAAATTTGCCGATATTTTCATAGGCATCTTCCACTGTTGCATAAGTTCGGAAAACGCGTAATGAATAATTGAAGCATTCGATGGCGAATGCGCAGGGTTGACGACAAAAAGGCGAATGCGCAGCCGATCACCACTAAATTTTCCAGTTTATTTCCCTTATCTTTTACTAATTAAGCTAAAAATAAATAAAATTGTTTTGGTAACTAGATTCGGCTATTGTGGCTGAAATACTTCCGCAGCTCGCTTTCCATTTTGAGTTTTTCGTACAAATTGTACAGCTCATGGGAGTGAATGTCCGCGTCCTGTCGATCGTCCCATCCGTACGGCGGCCCCTTCAGGCCCGAGTAAACGTGCTCATCATCTGAAATATTGCCAAGTAAAACCAGTGGGGCTAAGGCGAAGCTCTGGAGCGTACCTTTCCCCGGTTGGATATGGACGTGTAGGGGCTGGGAGGAGTGTTCGCCCTTTTTACTGGCCAAAAAGGCCCCCAGCTTGGCTGCCACCGTGCCGACATTGAGGAGGAGGAGCAGGCCCAAGAGCCCGATTGTTTTCAGCGCGAAAAGCACCAGAAAGGCTGAAAGTTAACGTGTTTGAGAAATTGCGACAAAGGCGAATGCGCCCTTTCAGGATGATGGAGACGCTCTGCGTGAAAAGAACGATTCTTCGGAATGTTTTAGCTTTTAGAAGAAGTAGTGTGATCATTTCGCCCCCAGTGGGCGCTGGGGCTTTTTGGATTCCTACCTAGTTTGGTGATAATGATTCCGCCTCCAATCATAACCATCGGCATAATCTGGCGAAGTTTCTTAGCGATCCCAATGCATCTTCCTGCAAAAACCTCCAGGATAAACCCGCTGAACGCCTGATCGGATAACGGATGCTTACCCACAAAGGAAGATTGCGGCTCTTGAGGGGCCCCATTTTTCACGTAGTCCCACCACGCCCCGATTCGTCTTCCAGCGTACTCCAGGAGGGACATTTGCTGGATTTTGTCCAGGTCCAAAACGAGCGCTTGCTCGGAAAGTGCCATTTCTTGGTCAGCTTTCCGAGCACCTCCAAGCGCGGTTTTTGAAACGTCAGCTTGTGGTCCAGAATCGGAGGCGTTTTGAGGCAGTAGGAGGCCGGAGGTTGGAGTCGGGCGGTTTCTGGATGCATGCTGGAGTGGCCGATTGGAGCCTACCAGACCAAGCTGGACTGAAAGCAAGAGTCCCAAAAATGCTGTTAGCACAGTTTTCATCTCTTGCAGCAAGCTGAGCGCATCGTTATTCAGCGGATGATTGCCTGCAAGAATACTTTTAGAAGATTTTTTGCAGTGAAAGCAGCAAATAATGGTTTTTTCGACCTGAGAGGTCAGCGAAATGTCATTTAATTCAATTACTTTCTTTAGCAATTGGATTATATGCGATTCGTGGTTGAGGCCGTGTTTAGAAAGTGAAAACAGTCGCTTTCACGTCTTGGCCACATTCTTTCCCCCGAAATTCCACGAAAAACTTGTAATTTTCTGTCAGACTCTCACTAAAAATCGCCACTTTTCGTTAAACGCTCTCTGTTTGCATGGTAGATTAATTGTTGAGCAACTATTATTAACAGCCGCAACTAAACCCTGTCACGTAGTCACGCTTTAATAAAACCCGCTTTATAAATTCCATTGTGATGTGAAAGCATTGTGATGGAAAAATGCACGCTTTTCACTGTTTTGCAGCCCCGAAAATCCAGTTTCACTTCGATGAGACTGTTTCACATTAGTCAGCTAATGCCCGATTGTTTTGTCATTCGTTGCTCAGTAAAACAGTTATAAGCTGTAGGAAACTCACGTGAAATTCAATGAATCCGAACCAGATGAAAAGTGCACAGAATCCACCGGTTGCGAACACGGCGCGAAGAAAGTGATTGTTGACCGTTCCAGTTGCTTCGACGTACTGAAGATTCAAGTGGAACAGGCCATTCTTTATTCTTCGGTCCGCTGAAATTAAGAGTCCCTGTTTTATCGCTAATTATCGCTCAAGTGGCCGTCGACCTGAATTTGCCGCGAATTTGAAGATCACGTCTGTGCGATGTGTCTTCATTAACGATTGCCGGACAATAACTTGAGTTACTTTCTTTTAAAAAGTTTTGGCACTGTTTTGACGAAACCCCGTAGCAACTGGGCTGACCTTGCAGCCCTCTGCTTGGGCTGGCGCCGTGCCAAGGAGGGAGAGCAACACGGCGGTTGCCATGGCAGCTGCCCCATCCTTGTTACTCCTGCCCGATATACGCGGGCTCTTGCGAAAGTGGTTCAAGTGCAATTAGTAGACTTGCGATAGCAAGTGCCGTTTTTGTTCACCTTTGGCCCAGTACTTTTGTTTTTCCAGGTCGCAACGTTTGCGTAGATTAAGAGAAAGTAGCAATTTACCAAAGTACAGTTCGTCCGATACGTGCCGTCTTAGTGTCGCATCTTAGAAAGCCACGGCTCTCATTACTTAACAGCAAACAGTTGACCGTCGCCGGTTCATTTGTTTTGCCATGACATTGACACTGTTGTATTGACATGACCCGATTAATGGTCGGCGCGGAACAATTGAATTGACCATGCGGGTTTTTTCGATTTTATTGCTGTTAATTGGGGTTTGGAAAAATGGTGCTTTAATCAGATGCCAAAAAAGATTTGTGCAGCGCCAAGGCCCGTGCTGGCGCATGCTTTTTGGCTTTCGGTCCAGAAGGGCGCCAGGATGGCCCAGTGCGCCATTTGACCGGGTAGGGAACGCGTCGCGACGCCTCAACAACACGACGCGACGCGTGAATGTTTAGTGAACTTTCCTACCAGTTTTTCCTTGCGATGTCTCGAGTTTTTCCGGTGGGTTTTTCTGGATGTGGCGAATGATTTTTGTTCGATGTTTTACTTCGCTACTGTTTACGCCACTACTTAAATATCTTTTGTCCAGAAGCATTTCGGGCTTCGGCAAGAAAAATCGCAGTTGATTTCCTACTCACTCCTAATTCTTCATTTTATTTGTTCCAGATGATCTCCAAGCACCAAGCAGACAACTGAAGAAGTGACTTTGTCGCGCAAATGCCGATAGTGAATCGTTACAGGTTTAATCGCGAGTGTGTTTAGTGATGACTGTGATTTACTCTACTGACTAGTTCGAACATTATAGTGCGAGTTGAGACATGAAAATACCGATGCCGGACAAGCTGCTGATCAGGATGGTCGTTTTGTCCATGTTTGCGTCCACCGGTAAGTCCCAAATCATGTGCTCAAACATTGATGCGAAAGTCCAGGGGAACCAAGTCGGGTTGTCGCGGTGGAGGTGTTTTTTGTAACCGAAGCCATTTGCCGCTCCATAGATTCGCTTAATTAGTGTCATTTTCCTCGGGCACGCCAGTGTTCAGTCAGCGGCGTCGCCACATTCATTCGAAATAATCGCCACATTCTGGCAGCTAAATTGGAAATAACTGTGGAAGGCAGCGAACAGGAAGCGGCCGAATTAATGTTGCTCAGCCATAAATTGGACAAATATAGTCTTTCAATTCCCATTTTTGAAGCCCGTGTTAAGGTGGTAAGGTGATTTTTCTGAATGTTCGGTTGTGGACTCAGAATGTTGTCATATATACTATAATATAGCATGAGAACGTTGACTTAATGCGTAAAAAGCAACATTCTCACTATTTTGCACTAAGGCCACTTTTCTGACTTCCAACCGAAAATTTATCTGAATAAGCTGGTTGTGCCAATTGGCATTTCCGAACGTAGCTCGCCTCGGTTCTCTCACTCGCACCCATGGGAGCCCATGAGCGGTCCACCATGGCAGTGCCTGGCTGCGTTCGAAGTTGATACCCGCGTCGCTTAAAATATCAGAGTTTTGATCAACACAGACTAGTGGAAAATTTTTCGTTTTGCTTCAATGCCACCATTTGCAATCATTTTTTGCTGATTAAACTAAGCAGTGATGCGAACAAATCTTACACCTCAACCAGTGCAAAAAAGTCTTTAACTGTCTTCACCTGTGTCAATGTATCCAGTTTTTTCCTAGCTTTAATTTCGCCAGGACTAGAGAGAAAATTGTTAACCCTTTTGTGCCTTATGGCACTCCAAAAGTCTAATGGTAATCGCGCATTGGTCGCACCAAAGGAACGAAACACACGAAACCACATCAGAAAAAACACGAAAATCCTGAACATTTTATACATCGATTTTATTTAAAAAACCGATATTCCCATTCTAGAACGTAGCGCGCATCGGTTCTCTCACTCGCACACATAGAAGCTAGCGACTGGGCCGATGGCGCGCGCGCTGCTGCGTTCGAACTTGCCACCATCGCCGCTTAAATAAATCAGTTTTGAGCAAGACAAACTGAGGAAAAATATTTCTGTGCCAATTTCGCCAAAACTAGTGGACTTGCGAGTAAGACCTCGTTGAACCTATTGAATAGTTGATGATTTTCGCAGAACATGCGGTCCTCCAAAATCAAGCAAAAATCGTTTTGTTCAATCGATAGGAACAAACCTTTAGGGTGAGCTTTTGTGGCAAAGTTTATGATGGTTCTCATGCTCGGTTTTCTCTTC